TTTATCCATATATCCACGATTTTAATTCATAACTTTGGGATACTTAACGAATTAGTATAAAAATACATTGCAATTTCAAATGAATTACAAAATTGTAAAAGTAAAGTTRAGCATTTTTCTGAAATTGGTAGCACTAGTTACTAAAAATAACATTGAATTAAATGGACGGACAATTGTTAATATAACTTTGAAAAATGTACATCAATTATCTTCTAACTCTCAATTATTATTTTCAATCATATAAACGACTAAAAATCAATTACTTCTCAATTAATAATTGATAATTATGATTGAAATTCATAGATTTTAAATTTAATACTAGAGATTCTAGTGTTCATAATTTATATATACCTATTCAATTTCAATTTCACATCAAATCTAAAGTATGGGTTCTAACTAATGTATTATAGTTTGTCAATAATTGCATAAGTGACCAAATAACAAATTATTTTCAAAAAGCCATTTTTAAGAATTTAACTCCTTGCGCATTCATACTATACTTAACATTATTTGATACCCAAAACAAAGTATTTTCTATGTAAATTGAATTTTCTATGCAGGCATTTGTAAAATGTCAACAAGTCTGTGTAAGAAGTACTCACTGCACATATTCATAAAGACAAGGCTAAATTTTTATAAAGGCAACAGTATCTATATCTAAAATTGAGCACCTTCTACGAATTACATTTCTTTCCTCATATTTTTTTAGAAAAATATTTCTGTTTATTGCCTCCACAAGTATTTAGTAATATTAGTAGTAGGTAAATTATTTTATTCTTCAATAAAGGGTATCAGAAATTTTGGTACAAATAGTTGCCCACCTTTCCATATGCTAAAACTGTCAATGAATTAAGAATACATTTATGAAAACGTGCAGAAGCTGCAACTGAAGATCTTAAAATAAAAATGTGGACATTTATATGTTAGTATGAGATGATTGTTTTGAGTCATCTCCATCATAGTTGTAATTGGCTCTTTGAGTAGCTATTTTTTGACGTTTAATCTTAWGTGCCCGTCCTTCTATTACATACAATACTCCACTGACATAAAGGGCAATAGTTCCTGCGACTGCTACTCCATAGCTCCATCCTATATCATTATGTTCCCAATTTGGCATCCATACTCTACTGTCTCCGTCAATTCCAAATATTATCAGAGCAATAGTACTGCATACAGCTGAAAATATTTTTTTATCAATTATTAGGAATGTTATACATTATAAGACAACATAACACAATGTTTACCTGCAGYTATATAAAGTATTCCAGCTGTAAATAGAATTTTAACGTAACGTTCATAAGATCTATTTAGATACATATAGARTGTAGAGTAGAATAAACCAAACGCCGTTAAGAGAACACAAGCAGAAAACCAAAACTGAGTGGCAATATAAAAACCTAAGAAAAAAATTTGTAACAATTAAAAATTTCATATCACAGAATAAAACTTGGTCTTCTTTTATTAAAAAAGTAATAAACAAACCTTTAAATAAAATATCATGGATAATATAATATTCTTCTTCAAACACCCACCAACAATTATGAAATCTTGTGTCGTGCCAATGATGAGCGTCTTCAAATTCTTTAAAACATACTACCCATAGACCTATGGATTTGAAGACAGTTTATTAAATTGTAATTAAATACTGAATTTTATTCACTTTTGATCAGTTAACTAGACTGAGTAAGTTAATGATAATTTTTAATTCAACAAAGTTAAATTAATAGGAAACATTTAAAAAAGCTAAAATTAACTTAATTTTTAACTTTATTACCTTAACTGTCTAACTCGTTGATGCCCAAGCTTAATATTTAGAACAGAAAATAAATTAACATCATGAATTTCAGAAACTTGAAACTATCATTATTCAACAATTATTTATTAATACTAATAAATAATAATTAAAAAGTTTGGATAGTTATACCATCAAAATACTTAAAAAAAACTCGGAAACACAGTTGTGGATTATTTTAAATATTATATTTATATCTTTTTGTAAATTAAAAAAAAAAAATGTTAAGATATTTATTTCAGTTTTTAAAGATTAAGGGAATGCAAATTATCATAAATAATCATACGTAGTAGATACTAGACACTGGTTATCTAAATGATGAAAACACAACATTTAGTTCGAGACAAAAATCTGATTAAAATAAAATATATAGTGTTGCATTCATTCCAGATGACAGTTATCTATTTGATAACTTTGTTTTTTAAGCATTTTAAACTTGCTCAATACATAWAAATATCGTAGTATAGAATATGCGCGTTATACTAACCGATCCTTTCGAATTTCGGGTGCTCTAATTTCCCATCCGTGACCAACCAGTTCTTCGTCGCGAACGCCAACAGGACTAAAAACGCTCCCAAAACCGATAGGCCAACAGCCGTCAAACCGTTCCTAGATTTTGCCATAGAAATTACTGCCTACAAGTACTTCAAAACGCGGACTGGAGATTTTTAGTTTCGAAAAAAGACAATGAAAAGAAACTGAGAGTGTCCTAAAACTTATCGGCAGCGGTGTCGACGAAGACAAGAGCGTCTTGAGACAGCTATTATCAGTAGGTACTTTACTTATCAATATCACACTATTACGGTGAGTGCCTTATCACAAAGTCAATCAAAATAAACACAGTTTACATTTTCATATTTTTATATTTAATATTTTAAAATACTAATTCTGTAAATGGTAAATATTTCTGTGAAAAAGTGTAGTATTTTATCAACTCTTCAAGTGACAAATWACGAATGGTTTCAATTAATTTGGTTTATTCCAAAATAATGATTAAAGATAACAATCTGATAAAAAAAAACAAATTATTATGACGTTTATTTCAATAATTTTATTTGTATGATTGGAAAGCTAGAAAGAATTGGCTACTTCGGCGCTTTAGTTATTAGTTAATAGTTAATATAAAGTCTATCAGATTATCCGCAAGATCCAAATTGAAAAGTACACGCACAGTATCTCGATATTTTTGATAACAACTCGATGTCCTCAATAGATTATATTGTGTAGATAGTAAAAAGGTGGATGGGACACCGCCGCAGAATGCARATTGAGGCCATTATATTTTTGCGGTCGTTAAGTGATAAAAAATTGAGACCATTTGCTTACATTTTTGCATGATAAATTTGTTTCATCTTGCTTTTTTTTATAATATGATTATAATAATGTATACGTCATGTTCGACATGTCATCACGAGTTGATAATCGAAACACTAATTATTTGTCMTCAATATTAGCCAATTGGAAACGTTATGCCTTGTTCATGTTTGTATTATATATCTATGGGATTATAGAATGAACTAAGGTAGTATGGTCTATGAAGTATGAGTCCGGGACTCCGGTGTAATGTTCAAATAATTGGTAAAGTTCTATTTTACTTTGGCACCGCTACTGCTACTAGCTACTTCATGAATCGCTGTGAAAAGTGCCAGTGACTATAATTTTTAACACCTCTAGATTGCTTTAGTAGTCGACGCTGATCACTGACGTAATTATAGTGACGTTTAGCGCGTTTATGGCCAACGATAATATTAATAAATAATAATAATTTTTAATAAAATATTCTAATATTACATGAAAAAAATAAAATAAAAAATCTATTTGATCTGTTTGAATATGAAATAATGTCTATCAAATGTCCATCTTTGACTGTGATAGTAAATGTCAACTATCTATATTGACTATTGAGTATAATATATTAATATAGTGATAAAGGTGTACGGTMCGCTTGTATGTAGGTAATCGGTAAAAAAATATCAAGAAAAAAGGAACACGGAAAAAAGAACAAGCAATAAAAAACCAGAGAAAAAAGGACAATTTTTAAATTTTTAAACATACCTATTAATTTATTATCACAATAAAAATTATATCCTCATATGTAAGTATTTTTTATTTATTTATTTTTAACCAACAATAACATTTCAAACCAGTAGTAAAAAAAGTAATAAGTCTAATTGTCTAATGTCTATGTATATTTGCATAAATGCTTCATTCTCATACCTATTTACAAACATTTGGTACTTAAATATAATAAAAAAGTTTAAAATATTTAATTAATGATACCTAATATTCTATTATTATATTGTGTCAAACACTGGTAAAAGTTATTTTTTTTTTTTTTAATGGGTTTCCCTTTACAAATAATTTTATGCAACTGAAAAAATGTTTGTCTAAAGTAATATCTTTAAAATTATACTGATTAGAAATGTTAGTTCATATTTTTTAAATTTCATAATCAATTAACAAATTTTTAATTTTTAAATTATTATTTTTTTTTCCAAGATTCTCGGCTGTCTTACCAAGGAGAAATCTATTATTTGATTTCATGACCTATTTTGGTGTTGGAATGTTTCTTGTTGTAATGTTTACCAAGAATATTAAAAGTTATGACAATTGACGTTCTACTACTCTGAATTTAAATATTTATTTATCATGTAGTTACTATTTACTAGTTATTAATTTTTAATTACAAAAATCAGATAGTATAAATAAAAGCAATAATTGGGTACCTATTGCCTAATACAATTTAATTGTATTTCAAATTAAAAAAATTAATGTTCAATATGAACCATTACCAATACCAGTTTCCACAATGCCTTTTCCGGTGTAATTTTACTATGAATTTTAAAACCATTTAAATTCTTGCTCTAGTTACTACGATATTAATTCATGTGTCTTAATAATTATATCTATCAGTGACATAGCTTGGATTATGAAAGGAAAGAGTGTCTAAGTATAAATTTGTATTTAAATAATATATATAATAAATTTATTGGGAAAAAAAATGTGATTGTGAGGGCATATAATTAATCTATATACTTTATTCCAAAATACTATTGTTTTATACTCAATATTTATATTAGTTAGGTCTTAGGTTTGTAATCTAGGTCGATGATCATTTTAGTAAAGGCAATAATTTTTACTAAAAAGTTAATATTCCGTTTGGGTGAGTATCATTTGTACCGATTGGGCGAGTTGTATAATTATTTCTATACAATATATACATCCACTTTATCAAAATGTGATAAGACTAGTAAGGCAATTATAGCTGATTTTAAAAATAAAATATAAGTACGTTACACATTACACATATGTAGAGTGTTGCATTTAAATATCTTAAATAAATAAAATACTTTTGTATGACTATGATTTGTGATCTATAACTATGTATAATCCATTATCCTAACAAAATCACTTCATTACTAAACACAAAAGTAGTAATTGAAAAACCAAACAAAACGACATACGGCCCCCCTCAATATGTTTCAACTGTCAAGACCTATCATGGTCACATACAATCTTACTGCCATCACCCATCGCGCTGCGTCAAATATGTCGAGGCTCATGAGTCAGATAGCTGTACCAAGGAAGGATCCCTCCAGTCCAGTCAAATACGTTCATTGTTCCAAAGATCATACTGCCAGTTTCAAGTGATGCCGATTTTACCAAACCATTCTAAATCGCCACGAAATCAAGTCTTCCAACTCTCACAAATATAAATACCACACATATAAATAATTTAATCCTTGAGTCCCTCCCAATCGACCCTTTCTAATCCATCCCGTCATGCTGCTGTTTCTTCTGGTGCTAAACCGAATATCCATCCGTGAAATTCAAATTTAAATTTAGCTCTCTCAATATTCCTCTCTGATTGAACCGCCTAACAAATTCAAATTGTTTGATTTTAAACGCAACCGCCTGATACGCGTTCACACTTTCGCGGTTTAGCCGCAGAAACAGTCGCGGTCGAACTGCGAGCGGTTCGACAACCCGAATGATCAAAACACATTGTTTTGAATTAGTCCGTTCACACATATTTGACGCGGTTCGTTTTTTCAAAGTTTAAATGTAAAAAATAATTCCAATTGTGTGACCTAAAGTTGTTGGTAACATTTATCTCATTTTGAAACTTTGAATAATATAATCATAATATCATGTAGTAGTCATCAAGGAAAAAACTAGATAAATATTTTATTACTGCATAAATTAGTAAAATATATATAATATACGTATACAAATACAATGGATGACATATTGAAAATTTAAAATTATGTACGGGATGCAGTG